AATTCCCCGTCCACAGAGCTGGTCACTTCTGGAAGCTTCCTAAGTATAATGCTATTGCCACACATTGATATATTGACCACAGAAAGGCAAATACAACAATGCCAAAGCTTACACTCATTTGAATAAACTGTGAATTTCTATTACATATATTGTTTCCTTTATCAAACTGAAACTACTGGGGCAAGAATACCAAGAATGCCAACATAAATCTAGATCTGTTACAGCCAGTTTCTCCAATTTATTCTCAGAAGCCCTAATGACAAAAAGTTAAAAGTTCTTCTGTTCCGGAGAGTTTAAGGAAAGTAACAGTCTCAGTAACTTCTAATACATTAAAAGGAAATAAATCTGGTTTAATAAAATGATGGAAGAAAATCACAACTACTGCTCTATTCCAAGGGAAGCACAAGCATGTTTTGATAAACATCAAAGATAAAAGGCAATGCAAACTGTGTGCAGCCTACTTGGGGAAAAACTGCCATTATTCATGGCAGAGGACTTGGTGTGGTCTTTTCCAGAATTCAAAACCAATTCCACAAAGACACATCCCAGCCTCTTCCGCTGTTAGCGTTCCACAGGTTCTGCTCCAAGATAATGGGTAGCAGACTATTCAGATCAGAAACTAATGGTGACTGACAACCTCTCTAACACAGCCAGCACTAAATGGTAAAAAGAGAAAAATAATTAACTAATATTCCTACTTTGCACAGCAGACGTTGACTCCAACCACAGTGAAATCTAAAAGAAACAGTGTTGTTCTGTTGTTGTTTTTTGTTTGTTTGTTTTTTTAAAGAAATCCTTACTTCAGCCTATAATCAATTTGGACCCAACCACATTCTATTTATAGTAACACTTTTAACATGTTTTAGTCTTATATTATTTATTCGGATCATTCCTATTACAATGAAATATTAATGCTGAGAAAGTGGTTACTCTATTAAGGAGCTATCCTATGTTTAGATTTTAATATTGATCTACACTATTTGGGCACAATTAATCATTCCATATGTAACTGAGTTTGTGCGACTTTGTGTTAGAACACAATCAGAAGTTTAGAATCTTCCCCACAATAATGTCATGATTAAATTTATATTTTGACCTATTCCTAAAGGCAATTTAGTTATTCTAACAGAAGGGGGAAAAGGGGATACCGCCACTTTAAAAGCTTCAATCTCTTTGACATTGCTGGCAGTGTATGGGAACATTAATGCATCTGTCATGATAACAAGCTAAGAATAACATCTAGACATCAAACCGAGCAGAGAATCCATCTGAAGTGATTCATTCAGATCTGTCTCATTGATTTATTAAACACAGGGCAACATCTGCAGCCTCACAGAGCCGCTTGGCAAAATTAATGCAAGATCAATTCAAATGGAAAAAAGTGCAAAAGAGATAAATCAAAACACAATTTGCATGCAGCTCCACAATCAGGCTTATTGGGTGCAAATGCTCAATTTCCCTCCCAAAGCAAATGAGTTTAAATGTTGTTTTATCTTGGTAGAATTGTGTGATTTGAAGTGACAGTGAAGAGTTCTGCAGGTTGAAATAGTGAAAAGAAAAAGAGGAGAAGAAATGCATATTCAAAAGGTCTTTGCAAGCAACAAGAATATCATTAATACCTAATTGTTTAGCTTTTTTGTCTTTGCTACAAAAACACAGCATTTTTCAGTTGTGGAAGTCTCAGTAGAAAATTACATATGTATTATGCATATACACATGCAGGAAACATATAAATACTCCATTCTGGAGAAAAAGCATGTTACACTTCAAATGGAAAGCTCTACAGCTATGAAAAGAGAGGGGAATTTTAATCAAGGCTTCTCTAGAGTAGATACGCTTCTGTTGGAAATGTTTAAGCATTTTGATACTTCCAAGCAAGCACAGACTTGCAGCGTGTCCAAAAAGAACCAGGGAATTTTTCCAGAAGCATAATCAATTTGCTCAGAAAGTGAAAAAATTCACTTCTGCATCTGTAACAAAACCCACAATGCTGGTGATAAGTCTCGAGAGAACGCTTTAAGAAAACCTCTCCTACAATGAAGAAAAGAGAGCAGAAATGAATCGTTTCTGATTCCAGTATGTCACCAGTCCGAAAATCCACGAGTTTGGTTGAGTCTGAATGCACACTAAATATTTACTTAAGCAAAGAAGTTTATGTAATCAGATGCCTGCATTTAAAATCAATAGACACAGAAGCTCTGTGCAATGCTTCTTGACGAGATCGCATTAATTATAATCCTGACATCGTTCTGCTAATAAAAGACAGAGTACTGCTGACTCAAGGGGAGCTTTTAATAGACGACACAACCGGACTCATTTTCTCATAAAATACCTGTATTTGCTGCTTAAATTAATTTTTAAGGGCTTTTATTGTTTGTGAATAGACAAAGTAACACAAACTATCAGCCGAACTGGACTCTGAATCATAAAAAAAAGTTGTACTAGAATGCTTCCCAAAAAGCAGTATTTTATCTCACAAACTGCTCTTCTTACTACACAATGAAAGCAGCAGACCAATACTGTCCTTTTTCTGTAGGAAACAGTCATTAAATATGAAAACCCTGAAAGAAACGTCACGGTTACATTCATGTTATATTGATACTTATGGACTGATGTATGGACATCATGGAAGCGTCCTCTACACAGTTGTAAATTTTGTGATGAAACCACAGTATAGTTTTCTACTTTACATAAACCTTATTCTTTGCTGCTAAAATTAAGCCTTTGCTCTTTCATTTCAGTAATCTTTGAAGATATTCTGAGCAAGTTAATGAATTTCATAATGATGCTGTATTCACCACATAGTTGAAGATGCTACTTGCAGTGAAAGGAATGGTTTCATTTTACAAACCTTGCTCCCAAATTCAGTTACAAAACACTTCTTAATGGCAATCAAAGACGAGCACATTTTGGTTACACAGCTGAAATTAACATGCATACTTTTTTAAAAAAATACAAAGGTCAAAGATGTTTGTGTTCCAAGTACGTAGAACTCCTTCCATACATCCAACACACAAAAACTTACGGCTTAAACATACACTTCCCTCAGGCAAGCTCAAGTTAGAAAAAGGAATGGTACAGATTAAGCAGAATGCCTATTATTCCACTTATTTATTAATTGTTTGCATTTCAACTAAAAGTTAATTAAAGCGCATAGTATTGTAAGAAATGTTAATTTCTGGTAGACAGCTAACTTAAAAGACAACGGCAACCAATGTTTCTCATTACTTTTTCAGACAGTTTTAAAGTTCATGTTCTAGTGTTCAAACTACATATAAATTTCTATGAATTAAAAAAGCAGATATTACAAAAGCAATGACAAATATTCTCATTTGGAAGCAACTCCTGAGTCATGTGGAAAAACAATACATATCTAAGGGTTTTTTTCCTAAAGGATGACATTTTTGCAAGACTGGAGCTCCCAGATCCAGAATTCAAGCACTGCACACACAGCTGCCCACAGCCCTAGCCCAAGTGTTAGTTTGGTACCAGGCACTACAGTGATGCCCCACTCAGCTCACAGCAAATGAGAAATCAGATCACACATATTCAGCTATTGGCATCCAGCTTTCTCTACCACGAAATCTGTGCTGTTGAGGAAAAAGCTCTGTAAATACAGTGACAAGCTAGGCATTCAATTAGCGTGACAGAACACCATTAACGTCGTTAAGTTACAATACTTGAGAAAAGTTTCCTACGCGCTGATAACGTTTATCACGCACTGCATCTGAAACTGTGAACGCAGCAACACCTTGCTATCCGTACGTCAAACCAGCGGTGTTCTTTAGCGATATATAAGCAAAGGCCGAGAGATGTTTTAAAAAGCGAGGTGTATTTCAGGCAACGAAAAGGGATCAGCTGCTCCTGAGGAGGTAGAAACAGAGAAAGCCCGAAGCGGCCCCGGCCCCGCACGAGGCTGCACGGCCGCCCGCGCATCCCACACCCCCAATCCCCCTGCCCGGCCCCGCTCCGCCTTTCCCTGCCGCCGCCACAGGTCGCGACCAAAAGAAAGGTAAAGTCGCGTTTCTTCATCCCCAATTACGGGCTGTAAGGGAGCAGACACCGGCACGCATCTAAGGGATCGCCAAGCGGGACCACGCGTTCTTCTGACGAAAACTTTGGCAGGGTCACTGAAAAGAAACGGCGTGTTTCTTCAGCTGCCAGCTTCCACGCCAGCCGAGTTTCGGAGCCGCCTCCGCATAGAGCGGCCCTAAGGAGCACCGCCCGCAGCGCCGTCCCGAGCAGCCGCCGGGTCCGCGAGGACAGCAAAGCCAAGGGGCCGTAAGAGCCACAAGAGCCACAGGGGTCACAGGACGGCGGCCGTGATGTCAGCGCGGCGCTCGGTCCCCGCGGGCACTACGCGCACAGCGGCACGGCGCCCGGCATCCAGCACGAGCAGCGCCGACGGACCGACTGCGAGCGTCTCCTGGGCTCGACAGAACTTGCAACAACAGACAGCCTGGCGCGGCGGTCCGTCCTGCTTCGGCTCGCGGAGGAAAAAAAGCGGGTCGGGCCGCAACCGGCGCGAACTTCACGCGGCAGCCGCAGTCTTCAGACACGGCGATGCGTGTGTTAACGAGCGCAGAAGAGAAGTTGCTTAAGAGCTGCGCTCCGCGAGAGTGCCGAGAGCCACGGAGCTCCGGGCACCTCCGGCACACGGAGCAGCCGGCGCTCCCACGCGGCCCCGCCGGGCTCCGGTGAGCGGTGATGGCGGGGCTCTGGGAGCAACAGTTCGGGTCCGGGCCGCTCCGGACACGGCGCGCAGCCGCCCCTCAGCTGCGCCGCGAGCCGAAACTTTCAGCGACGCGAGGAATGGAGGAAACTCGGAACTAAAGGGAAGAGACAGCAAAACGGGCGCGGAAAGCGCCGGCCGCCCATCTGCGGGAGAGAGGAGTTGGAAGGCGGCCGCGCCGCCCCTCCAGCCGCTCCGCCGCGCTCCCCCCACCCGCCCCGCGCGGACCCCTCAGCCCTCGGGCGGAGCAGAGCTGCACGGCGCTCACCTGGCGTTGGTGCAGTCGTTGTACAAAGTTTCGAAGTCCTTCCTGGTGATGAGCTTGCAGCGGTTGACGCCGGGCTGGATGGCTCCCAACCCACGCAGGATGCGGACCTGCTCCACCGTGCAGACCACGGGAGATATATCCAGCCGCTTCAGCTTGGTGTACACCGTGTGCAGCCCTCCCACCAGGTGCTTGAGGAAGAGGTCGAAGACCTGCGGCAGGCAGATCAGCTCCTGCCCCTCCACGAGGAACGAGGCCACCTTCACACCGTGCAGGTCGACCATCTTACACTCGTTGCCGCCGCCGCCGCCGCCGCCCGCGCCGGTCCCGCCGCCGCCCGCGGAGAGGAAACTGTTGACGAGGCTGTTGGTGAGCCGCGGGGACTCCGCGGGGCTGGAGTACAGCGGGTCCGCCCGGAACAAGCCGGCCGAGCCCCCCGCGCCGCCGCCGCTGGAAGTTGCGGCGATGACGGGCGGCGCGGAGACAGCCATGGCCAGCCCGGCTCCCGCAGCCCCGCGCACTCTCGCCGCGCTGTTTGCGGTACTACTAAAAACAGCGCCGCGCGCGCGCGCCCGCCCTCCCACACGCAGCGCCCGCCGCCAGCCGCGCTCCCAGACCCCTCCCCGGCGCCGCCGGGGGGAAGAGTGATGGCGCCCTCCAGCCAATGAACCCCGCCCGCCTTCGGGCCGAGCGCCGCCATTGGCGGCGGGGGGCGGGGCGGGGCAGCGCCAGCCGCAGCACCTGGGCCGCGGGGTGTGAGGCGCGGGGCGGCGCTGCCGGGGGCAGGCGGGGCGGTGGCGGGGCGAGGGGAGCCCGGGGAGCCCAGGGAGCCCAGGGAGCCCAGGGGTTGCGTCCCGTCTGCTGGGCGTGCGGGTGTTCCCTCGCTACCAGCCGTAGCTCAGAAAGTCTCGAGAAGTCTCACGTCTAACTTACTGAAGTTCCGAGCATCCGGCGCAGCGCCGTGTTTCAGGTGCAGTGGTACGGGGCCGCTCCTCGCGCCTGAGGCAGCACGTGCTGCGCTCTGCCTGCGCAGCCACGGCCCGGAGCTGGGCGGGCCGCGCTGTGGCGGGAGCGGTGAGAGGAAAACCCAGCGAGCTTCGTGTGTCCCTGAGGAAAGCTGAGCGAGTGAGTACACACGAACGATGGTCAGAAAAAATGCAAGTGGAGGTGTTGAGTCTGACGCACCCAGACACAGCCAACACAACTAACTGGATTGTTAATTTCCTTTGCTTTTCCAACTCTGGCTTTATTGGACTTCTTTTTCTAGCTCCGTCCCTTTCTTCCTCTGTATGAACATCCTTACTTCCTGTTCATTTGCACTTTCTTATCCGTCTTCTGTTACCTTCTTTCTTACTCTGCTAACTTCTCCCGTTCTTTTTTATTTTTGCTTCTCCAGCAGCACTCAGTAAGCAAAGCAAACAGAAGAGTACCAACAAAACGCGTAGATCACAAAATCATAGAATCACAGAATGGCCTGGGTTGAAAAGAACCATGATGACCATCTAGTTTCAAACCTCTGCCACAGGCAGGGTTGCCAGCCACCAGACCAGGCTGCCCAGAGCCACATCCAGCCTGGATGCCATTGGAGCATTTCCGCTGCTTCCCCGGTTGTACTGCTCATATGAGCCATCTTTTGTTAAGCTGGCCTAGCTAGCCACTTTTTCTATACAATCCAACATTTTTGTTTTATGAGAATTCCCATTCGAAATGAAGAGAGATGACTGTATGGTATTTAAGTTGGCATATTTGTTAATTAAAGTCCCCCTGGAGGAACCCCACTTTCTCTCAGTTTTACAAAGAGTGGCCACCCATTTTAGGCTGCTCATGTAGCTGAGTGATTATCTTTCAATGAGAATAATCATCTTTCTAAGATGAGGGCCTTATGTTGGAAGCTCTGAGGCACAGGGGCTAAAAAGTTAGCAAAAAGTTTTGTGCATTTGAGCCCTGAACTCGTCTTGAGATTTTTATATGCTAGAATTGGTACAATGTTAAGTAACCAACTTCAACTATAAACTTTTAGGGGTTAATTTACAGGACATAATTGCTATTAGGAGATTTAATAAATCAGATTGAAGAATTTCTCATTGGCTTTGCCCTCTTACAGACTTTTTTTTTTTTTTTACTTTGAGATTAATGGGACAATCAAATTCTACTGTGAGAATTCTTTTTCCTTTTTGACTTTAATGTCTTCCATAAGCTAAACATATTTCTAAGTAAGACTGAATTTTTGCAAGGCCAGAGGAAGCCTTGCGCATCAGCACCCCGCAAGTTGGACTGGCGTGAAGCAATATAAAATCATAAAGGCTGTAGTAAAAACAGTACCCTTGAGAGGTGACTATCCATGGAGAGCAGAACTGCTCTTAAACTAAGGAAATGCTCAAGGTTTGAGAATTAATACCAGGCAGCTGCCCACTTCAGCCATGCATATAGAAATCAACAATATCGATGAATATTTTTGTTTGCCTGTAATTTTATTACTGACAAGGCAAAGTTACCAAAGCCTTACAATCACACAGTAATATCTTGTCATTTATAAAGTATCCAGATGGTTTATTTGAATAGAGTCCAGCAGTATGCAATTTGAATGTAAGTCTCCCTATAGCTTAAACAAGCATTTTAGAAAATTTTTTTGGAATTAAAGTTTCAATATTGTTAATTTTAGACTGGCATGCAAAATGGATTTTTTTTTTAACACTGTCAGTCATTGAGATATTACTGCATTATATATTAGTGGCATGCAAAAACTGGCCATGTAGCTATGGCAAAATATCAAAGAAAGATTCTATTTGCTTGGTTTTGTTTTACTGATCACTACATACGCCTGGTTGGTGTGAAATGTGAAAGAGATCTTTTCTAATGCTACAGAATAGAGGAAAGCCCAGGTTTCAATTAGGGCCAGTCAACAGCTTTCCGTAACCTGCTTACATACAGCTGGCATGAACGTGGCTGCCAGCTCACGGGGATCCTACAGGTAAAAGGATGGGTGGCAGAACTGACGAGAAGGGGACAATGATTAACAAAGGCAGCTTGAAAAATAAAATAATAAGGAATTGATAAATAATAGTTTTGTTTCTACAAGACTGGAAAGATCAGTAGTGAAGTTTGTGTTGAGTCTCAGTTTACTGCAGTTAAACACGAGGCAGGTTAATTAAAAAAAAGATTAATTCCAAAGATTTTGTTAGGTAAAAGATGCATGGAGAATTTATTTTTAGTGGGAATTTTTTTTTTTTTTTTTTGTAGCCTTGGTACCAGCATGTGCAGTGTGCGTGCACGATGGGAGAACATGTTAGTTTCTAACACAAAAACTAATGTGAAGATCTTGGAGCTCTTCCCTGTACTCAGAGGTTTCTGAGGCGTAAATGTGAGCACAGTTTTATGAGGGTCAGAGGCAACTGTGGGCTCTAAACGAAGAAGGAAAAAATAACTGCAAGATTTATTTACAATTCTCCCTAAGCATAATGAAATGAAACACCATTTTTCTGAATTCCAGCCTGACTGGAATCACAGTGACGATGGTGTTCCCCTAGTCCTTACCAGAAAAGTTACTCAGGCTGATCCAAAGCACTCTTCGACTTAATGTCGTGACCGTGTGAGCAACTGATACAGCTAGTTCTGAGTACAGCCTTAACATGGAAGATAAAAGTTAGCTCTTTTTTTTGTTGTTTGTTTGTTTTTGAAGATTAGTGTTAATGCTTTGGTTTTCAAGGGAAAGTATAACCAGGATCATGTTAACAAATGTAGGCCACTGATGTGAGAAAATGAAGAGATTGAAAATTGTCTATCTTCTTATTACCCACCTTTTTCTAAATGCTCCAGCACTTGGTACTTGTGTTCAATTTACTTCAAAACTTTCTTGAAATGTCAGTTGTTAGAAGTGTGGAATAAAACTTCCCATCTAAACATCAAGGATTTTAAATAAAATGGATGAATCTAAATGTCTGAGTATCAATAGAAGAATGATCCTTTCCCTCCTTTAATCAAATGTATTGTATTAATGTGTGCATAATGCAAAATCAATAAATAATGAATTACCACTGATTGTAATTGAATGTTTTCATAATTTTATTGTCAGCCATGATAAATAATCAGTACATTTATACTGCATTAAATTAATTAGTGTGTCATTTCTATTACATACATCAGCAGTGAAGTAATGCAGTGACATCTGTTTCTAATGTTTAAAAGATGTGATATTCCTTATTAAGTAAAAGGAAGAGTTATTAGAGGTATTTCCTGTGATTGGCAGTTATACTGGTAGACTGAAAGAGACTGAATAAAGGAACTTGCACTTCTGGCAAATGCTGCATTTCAGCCTTCTAATGGTAGACAGTAACAATGAGTGGGGTGAATTTTCTTTATTCAGGCTCTTAAAAAATCCTGCCCATCTTGTTATAGGAAGTGAGAGTGGGTTTTCTCTCCGTAATACAGACAGAGAAGATTCTAACGTCCAGTAATTAACGCTTTACAGAATAATCACACATCTGTATTCATTTCTATATCTGTTTTTCTGCCTCAGTCCTCTGTGTTTGGCAGTGACGTTCTTATTTTGCCTTTTGGGTCTGCATATTTGCTTGGAAATTATACTAATTTGGCCTATCTTGGCACTTTGCTACTCACACTGATGTATACTACCTGCAAAGGAAAGAGAAGACTGGATGGATGTTGCAAATACAAGAATTGAAAAATGAAAGACTGGAATATGAGAAATAAGAGTAAATGGAGAGGTACATGTGGAAGATAGATATGAATCACACTGTGTCAGGTGTGAATCAGAAAAACTATCCTCAGTTGGTTAATCATCTGGAAGCAGGGTGATGTGAAGTAAAATGCACTGAGAAACAAATATAGACTACAACATAAGTCTGGGATTCTTAATTAACTCTGTCTTTTCCAAAACACCTTATGGACATTCTCAAGTTTCTGTACCACTGCATCATCTTTGAAGAGAACAGTTAGAAAGCCTAATGTTAAGGCTTGTCTTGCCCTTTGTTCTTCATCCATAAAACCACTTCTAATTTTTCATACTATTAATGTACATAATAATATTTAAGGGTAATTAAAACAATTCAAAATTATTTTTTTCAGTGCAAGTCTCACCAACTGCATTCAGCTGGAGCATGTAATCAGAAATCACTGACCACCTTTTGATCTTACCTAGTAGGACCTTTTACACGGCTGGGAGTCTAGAGCAACTGTGTGTGCATACAGCAGTTTGTCCAAGAGTTGCTGCGTATACAGTAAGCTGTAGTCTTGCTATGGTCTGCTTTCTGGGCACGACTGATGTCAGGCTAGCTCACAGTGTTGATACATTCAGTACTCAGAATGCTCTAACACAGTATTCCTGCAGTGTGTGAGCCTGTAGGCTTGCTCAGATTGTCTGCTCTGGAGACAGTGCTCAATAGATTCAGTTTTCGAGGCAACTGCTCCAGATCACAGAGTCTGCACTGAACTCAGCAGTTCAGGCTATACTTGACACATGAAGGATTTGACCGTTTACTGTAGGAACTTGAGAAAATTAAAGCACAAAGATACTTGCTCAAGCAAGGTCCTGTTTACTCTTTCTATTCACTAAAATGTCACTGAAGAGATGTGTCCTTTTTGCTTAGGTATTTACTTCTTGTCTACGTGTAAATGCTGCTCTCCATGAAAGCAAGCAGTATGTTTGCTGTGGAAAAATGGGAGTAGTACTTTAAAATCATTCAACTGAAATAAATAAAAGATACAGTTGTTGTTAATGACTTGCTTCTTCAATCTGGGTTTTGATTCTTATTGAGGATAGAAGACAGTAAAATGGCAAAGCTGGGACCTTTAGTAATAAAGCTGTATTACATGAGATACAATTATCATTAAAATTCAGTACTGTTAGTATTTTCTTCAGGAAGAAAAATTAATGCCATTAGATGTATACTGAAGTTAAAACACACTTTGTAACAAACTATGAACACAATCATATGTACTTGAGTATTTTTAGTAAGCCATTACACCTGAATGCTCATTAATGTCCCCAGAAGAACAAGATTAACCTCATCTCTCATTCTCTATGCTCACAGGTCAGCTAAAGAAAGCAGTTTTCCTGCAGTCTTTTAAAGGATATCAACCCTACTCTGAAGGCACCACCATCTAGTGGGATAAGAAGGTATTTGATTTTTCTTTACATTTTTTGGCATTATTAAACACAGACATTGGATTCTGCATAAGCAACAATCAGAGGGTTTTTGGTGTTTATTTAAACAAATAAGGCTCATGTGGACTTTTCATTAATTCTCTTATCTTCAGCCTAACAGCAAAGTATTTTCCAATAAAAACCTTAAGAACTATTTCCATGAAAATGGGTTTTCATAAACATAATTTTATCAATGAGAAAATAACTTATGGTTAGCCAGACTCAATCAGAAGTGTAATTGATTTATTGAATAAATATTTTTAGTGTTTTATTGAATCTACTTTGTGGAAATCCAATTGGCAGAATTATTAATAATGTGGAGGTAATTATCTTGAGGCCATCTTAGTAAAGATACGTAGTTGCAGTTTTCTGTTCAGCCATTAAATATACAGCAGTGGTTCTAAGTATAGTCTGACCATTAAGTCCCATCAAGAACAAATTTCAAAAGTGAATGCAAAGCATCCATTTTATCTTTGCTGTAAGAGTGACCATTTATTGTACTTTGCCTGTACTGATATATGGACTGCTACCTGACTTCATTTGTTTTTTTTATGCACTTAACAACTGGAAAAGATAATGACAGGGATTTTTTATGTGGGACGGCAAAACATAGAGATGAGCAGTGTATATTCATTTGTTTGTTTTCTTCCCAGAGAGTGCATGCATCTGCAGCTGTTATCCTAAGATGCCTCCTTGTGTTCAGGTCTCATTGATCTTGTTACAGCATTTCACACATACAGAGATAATTGATTTACATCACTTGAGACTACATATCTTTTACTAGCATGCGAAGAAACATTAGTAAGTTATTGTGTTTAAAAATTCTGTAGATATTTCAATATTTTTGCCTAAAACATTAATGAAGTAAGAAATTACTTCACAGCATAGATAACATATAGGTATTCCAAAATTGGGCCTGCTTCTGTTTCAAGGAATTTAGATGTATTTTTTCCACTGATACTTCTTGGCTTTCCTCTCCATAATTAATAGAACTCTTGTTGATGGAAATTGGCATCAGTGTGCATTCTGCTTTGTACCACATTTTAGTTTGCTGTCTTTAAAAACACTGCATTTCTTCTGGTAGCATCAATCAATGTTGCCAGTTCTTACTCAATCAAACTGAAGTTTTGAGTAGAAGTCAGTGGAACTTGTCTGGACTAATTGTGTTGGTAAATGCCAGTTTTACCCTTTGGTCACTAAAACACAAGCATGAGAAGGTTAGAAACATTTCATTTAGAATGCAAATTAACAGCATTATAAATACCTTCATTTAGATTACTGAATACCATCTGTGGTTGATAAAGTCCAGAATGTTCTAGCTTCTGGTTCTTCTTTAGCAAAAATGTGTAATATGTTTGTAGAAGGCAGTCTTGCATGTATAAAACAAACGTCTAAATTAAGGCCAGTAATCTGTAGGCCTATCAACTCCTGAGTTGCAAATAAGTATAACTATTTTAAATCCTGTATCTGGTTAAGCAATCCAGACTCAAGTAGAACGTTATTGTTCAGAATATTTTAACAGAAATTCCATGTGCCATTGCTCAGTATCTGTGTACCAGTTTTTCTGTAAATATGCATGAACGTATGAAATACTTCTTAATTTGACTTCTTTTGAAACATCTTTCCACCTCTTAAAAAGATTACAATAGCTTCCATGAAAAGTTCAGATTGAAAAAAGCAAATGAAAAACCACAAAACAGAAAAGAATTGCATTGACATGTGAAATGTGCTAAAATTCTTTTTTGAATCAGTCATTTAGACATACAAAGATAATGATGATGATTATGATGACAATAATTATAATCAACTGAAATTTAAATTCATCCATTTTCCTCTATGCAAATACCAATTATATTTCTTTTCTTTAAAATGAATGTGACCATTTTAAGTAGTTATTCTTGCAAATCTTCCTAATAATCTGCTTCAACATTTACAACTGCATAGTGTTCTTCTGAACTGGGGGAAAAATTCTGGCTCTTCCAGCATAACTGACAGGTCAATAAATGGGTCTATATTAGCTATATAGAATTAATATTCATACAGCACCTTCAGAATCTGAAGGAATATGACCTGTTCTTTCCTTTTATTTACTTAGTCAAACAGAGGAGGCAGTGTCACTCAGAAGGCACTAAGTAGGTACAAAAGCAGGGAGTGAACATCATGTTCTCCTTAGTTCTGCTTTAGAGTTTCTAGTCATTGCAGGTGCACAGCAGAATTAAAGAAGTGTAATGGCTGAAAGTCTTCCTTTAGAGAGTCTGTGATGGAAAATTGCTCTGAGAGGTGCGGTTGTATTTCTAGAAATAGTCACAAGTTGGGCAACAGCTGGAAATTCTGCTATTGTGGAGATCACCTTATCAAAGGGCTGTTACGTTACTGAATGATGTATGATGTAACCATTTGTTTTCTAGGACTGACAACCACCAAGCTAACATCTTATCTCCAAAAAGATGATGCTAAGACTAAAAGGATAAAAATGGCTTCTAATTAGTGCAACTTAATGTGATTTGTTACCTTCCACCCTAATTTTTTACTCTGTATACAGCCAGATTTGACCACCTATTGTTCTAGTTTTACACATCATCACTCTGTTTATAGGCATGCCTGAACTAGGTAACATCCTTGTCATGGCCATGGTACTGAAATGTGGGTTTCAAATGTACTGGAATGCTCAGTTGCATTCTCTCTGAAGAGAGATTAAAATGCAAACATCCTATAAAAATCACTGCATACTTTAATATTGCTGACCCACAAAACATTTATAGTATAAACATTCTTTTCCTAGACACATAGAGTTTAATTAAAGTTTCAGAAGTGCAAAGTGGATGTCTTATTTTCTGCACAAAAAAGCTAGCAGCAATGTGAAGCGTGTACTGTGTTTGGATTAATGAAAAGTCCATATTAAATCATAAGTGTCCTTTCTGAATTCTCAAAAGCATTACTACACAGAGCCTGGCACCAGCTAACAATCTGTAAAAGAAATATAAGTACTTTTCTCCTTTCTGAGACAATCTGTGTGTAATTTAATTTAAGATTTCGTTAAAATCTCAGAGAACCACTATAGCTATGCTTTGGTTCTAAAATCCTAACCAGGATCTTTTAAATTAAAAAAACAAAAAAACCTTTTGATTGTGATGTTGAGAGAGAAATGCTTAAGAAGGAAGCATTTCTTGTGTGTGGCTTTAGAGAATGTATTTAACTGAAAATAAGAGGTGATCACACGTATTCCCATTTCTTAGAAGCAAGACTGACAGCTGTAGAAGCTCACAGCATTCTAGTCACACTCCATTAACTAGTAAAAAAAAAAAAAAAAAAAAAAAAAAAAGTCCCCAAATCATCTTCCTGCAATTGACAGCTATTTTCTCATGTTCTTTCAGAGGAAAATAGAGTAAGAGGGTTTAGCAGCTCCTCTTGGCCGTCTGTACCCACAGATACATTGGTAAGTTCTCACAACTGCCGCTGTAAAGCTTCAACTAAATCTCTGCTCTTGCTGTAGAGCAGTAAGTGCTGCACCAGCAGACCCAACACGTCTCAACTAAGGCAAATTCAACCTCAAACACAGATTTATAAAGTTAATTTTTTTTAAGGGACGATTACCTTTGCTTCATTACATTTATTCATGTTTCCATCATTTCATAGTTGCTACAGCTTAGTTCAGTTTTTTAACTTCCTGATATAACATAGCTCACTGTTACTCATTCCTAACTTGCAGGTGTCTCTTGGATATAGTTTGGTGTTTGAGTCCTTAGCAATAAGTATGTCTTCACAGGAATCCAAGCCTGCAAGAACTCATTTCATCTGAGGCCTTTATAGTCTCTTGTTTATGGTTTCTCTGGTGAAGTCTAGGTAAAAATACTGCATATGAGACACATCAATTCACTTAGCTTTATGGACTACTTTAAGCCCTTTAATTATATGGTAATATTTATGGTGAGTTTCCGAAGGGAGCTTTTTCAGTTTCAGAACTTAAAGTCTTGGTCTATCTCCTCTTTCCTTTCCATCCATGTGTCATTTATGATTTTTGAGACTGGAGAAGGCTACTGTTTATTAAAAAAAAATATTCAAAGATGTTTTACTTTTTCATTCTCCTCAAATGAGGCACTAGAGCCTTGCACTCTGTGGGTTGTTGGTCCTTTTTGTTGGTGCTTTTGTTTTTGTTTTTTGCTTGATATGCCATATTCTCCATTTCCCAGACTCAGTATTTGTGCATGTTTTTGAGTACGTATATACAATGAGATAATTATTCCTAACTGTACACGTAATGATTTTTGTTAATCAATTAGCAAATATCATGAAGTAAGAGGCTGAATTTTGCATGGTAAAACTTGTGTCAACTAAGGAAAGAATAGTATGTCCTAATTGGCCACAAGTCTAAAGAAGTTAATAAAACAATGTAATAGATAATAAAAGGAATTTTCCAGACAAAGGAGATTAGTTTTTCAGATAAATGCAATCTCCATATGTGCCAGAAAAGATACATTTTTTCCTAAACTCTGAGAACATATATCCGAAGATCTTGTACTGTGCAATAAAAACTGCTTCAAGTAATATTACAAACAAAATAAGGCAGTAACTGACTACAACTAGAAACGCACATTTACTGATCTTGATTTATTACACCACTTTGTATATTCTTTGTAGGGCTATATATGCAATCAGTTTCCTTTTGTCTGTTGCTTACTGGTGATTTCTGACATACCACAATTGACCAAGACTTCAGAAGTTAGAATATGCAAACCATGGAGTTCCTAGTACAGAAAGCACCCAACTCTGCTTTTGGTGACAAACTCTGTTTTATAGTTGCATAATTTCAATCATTCTTCTCAATTTATATTGATGTTATTGATACCAAATTTTGTTCTGACTCATTTTCAGTAGATGAGAAGAAACAGAAGGCATTGGTTCTTACAGGAATGTTTTAAAAACACTGTTATCTTTTAGAACATATAAAGAAGCTATAAAAACATACTTGTTACATATACAAAATGAATATATTCTACCAGAGTTTATAATTTATTTCCTTAATAGTATAGATAAGGTTCAACTGTGTATACCTGAATACATTTTAACTTGTTTGCTTTTTCTTACAATTTATCCAGCATTATCACAGAATCATAGAACTGTTAGTCAGAATCTGTCTTTCAAACTGTAGAAGAATGGCTCACCTTCCACCACTTGCCAGAGATTCTGCTCGAGTTTATCCAGCGACAGGCAGACTCTGATAGTTGAATCCTCTTCTGGAGGTTTATCATGAACTTGCGTGCTTCACTGATTCTCTCCAGCTTTCCTTCAGTATTCTTCCTGGCTCTCTCCTGTATTCTTTTTCAAGCTGACCGCTCTGTTTTCTAAATTGTGATCATGGCCCAGAACCTGTAAAGGTTGCAATGAAATGACTGAAAAACTTTGAAGTTTTATTTTAAGTCCCTGTCACTTGGTTTCCCACATGGAGCCAGCTGTGTGCTTTTTAGTAGCAGTAGTGCTTTGTCGTTGATTTCAAGCACAAATATGCTGTAGTGCCTGTGCTATTTCTGCAGTTCAAAAAATCTTCTAACCAACCTGGATGATTCTGAATTGATTGGGGATTGTTCCTATGAAGTCATAACATTTTTCCAGTTCTGCTGGAGTTGTTTCAAGTTGATGATTTCTCTGTCTTATAACCTACACATCTGATGAAGAATACACAGAGTTTGGCAAATGAGAAATCTTTTTAAAGTGAGGGAAACAGTATTGCAGCTCATGCCTACATAAATCATTATGATCTATGTGGCTGTGGTTAGGCAGTTTCCTTACATCTTTTGTGGTTCAACTGCCACGATGCTTAATCCTCATTAAAAATCCATAGTATTTCCAGAACACATTTTTGGCTTTTACATCAGGGTCTCTTCTACTGCTAGGCAGGAACTGACTGCTGTGCATTCCTGTTCATGCAGTGTGAGTATTCCACACTTGGCAATTATCTTGACATTGGCATAGGAGGGCATTTCCCAGGTAGCTGAATTTGCCATTTTTTTTGAGCAGTTTTGAATTTGAGAGTTTTAATATGTTGAGCAACTATTTAATTTTTCATTTTTCAGAATGATGACACAATGATGATAAGTTGCATCTTCTTTTATTCATTTGAATAGGAAGAACTGGTAATCCATACACGGTATAGTCTGAAATGAAATAAAAGAGTTAAAAAGTCACATGCAAGCTTCTGCCAGAAATACCACCATGTCAAGGCAGTCTCAGGGGCCTCTCATATGTGGTAAAGAAGGTTTCACCACAAAGGTGAAGTAAACTTCTGAAGAGGAACAAATTACCTGAAACATGGCTATAAACTCCTGAAGAATTTTTCTTTAAAATGTACAAAAAAAGTTGTAGTCTTTTGCTTAAGTATACTGACATTATTTTGGCTTCAAAAATAGTTTACCTGTTCTGTCTGCATTTCAGAAGTATTGGCATTACATGTTTTTATCTAGAAAGGATGTTTTACAAACATGCCTAAATGATTCAAAAAACAAACAGAAAATACCTGCGCAAAACTCTGAAAGAGAAGATAAAGCAATAATTCACACGCTGTACCAAATGATTTTAGCCACAGTTACAGAGCACTGACAGAAGCAATCTACCTAAATAAAAACCTGACCTGACACCACATATTGCTTACAGAGTGCTAATATCATGTTTTTAGAGCAGTGCTAGTCAGGGTACAGTCTGACTCTACTACACAGAGTTCACTATTGTCTCCAGTTCCTAAAGAAAATTTCCTCCGAGTGTTTCTAAGAAACAAGTGATAAAACTGCACCATTATTAGTCATCCTAGGCTCATCAGCCATTCCAAGTATACAAGATTAACTTGTAGCAAAAACAAAACCAACAAAAAACCCTGAATTTCTGAGCTATTGCAAAAATTATCTCCTTTATCCTGCACATTGCAAAAATCAAATTCTCTTTTCCTGTCTCTTGGAGTACTATCTTAGTAATGAAAGTGGAAATTTCATTCATATTTCCAGTGCCCCTTAGTTTCAGAGTGTAGGTTTCACGTTTTGTGATTTTGTTGCTATTGTTGTATAGTGTTCACTGGTTTACCAAGATTACTGTATTAAAGGAGTGTTCATACATAAGGGAATTAGGTATCTATGTGTGATTAAGAATTTGCCTAGGGTCTAATTGCACTTCTGTTAAATAAATGATAATATTCATAGAACTTAATGGAGCTGCAGTTAGGCCCAGTGTGCCAGCCAGTGTACTGTGCAACAGGGACAATCTTACCAGAGTGTTATGAGAACAACAAAATACATCAGAGACTGTATGATAACTGGATTAAAACACATAAACACTGTTTATTAAAATAAGATTATTAAATAAGCATCTACAATTTGAATTTCATCAGCTGTAGGACTTAAGGAGCAGAATCTGTTTATAGAAATCAGAGACTGTTACTATTTTTCTCAGTGTTTGTTATAGACCAGACCTCCAGTAGAGGAACTGAATAGAACAAAATGAAGGAAACAGAAGTTTTGATGTGCTTAAAAACATTCCAAATGCATTGCCATTTCACATATATATATGTAAGTTTAGTCAAAGATGAAGAATAATTTATATAATTTCGAGAAAAAGAACTACCATGATGATTACAAGTTGCTATTACTGCTCTTGAATTATAAATTGCACTTCCTAAGGAAGTTTAGAGTGACAGAGTCCTTCTATCTGTTCCTCCATGGATTTGGTAGCCAAACAATCATTTATCAAGTATGGGGAACCTGACATCTCTAATGTGGATCAGAATAATGCAAGATCAGAAGAGTGTCTTGTTGTGGAACGTAAGGAATAAAACACAATGTGTTTTATGGGCATAACTGGGAGCAAAGACAGCCAGTCGGAAACTGCTAAGGGACAGAAAGATTGATTCAGATATCAGTAACAAAGAATAAATGTGTATAAGAGTTTGAAAGAATTTTGTAAACAAATACACTTTTGCAAGCATGCTTGAATGTAGAGTGTCTGTTTCCGTAGTTAATGAACAATCTAGTTTGTGCATGCTTGAGTGACCAACAGTTGCATAACAGCAAACTCTATATGACAACCATGCATAACTTCAGCAACACACAAACATTTTCTTGCTGCCTGAACTAATGAGCCATTTAGTTGGATAAATCAGGTTATTCAATAGATGTTTCAAGCAGCTAATAGGCCCGATCCTGCTGCTGATCCATATTCAAACTGGTACTCAAGGAGAATTAAATTCTGTATCCACTGAGTGAATAATAAACTGAAGAATGAGATTTCACGCGTGAAGTCATTGCAGGATAAAGATACTATGTAGTTTAAAAAAAATCATCACAGCACAAAGTATTTGCTGTTTGTTATTTTAGAGGAGATATTTGATTGAATGATCTGAAAATAGATCTTGAAACAACTACAAACTTGATACTTCTAATACTGACTTCTCTTGATATTTTTTTTTCTTTTTCTCCCTATGTCCTTGGGCTTCAGTGTTTCTATCAGGAAAAGCAGAAACAGAGGATATGTGTTTTTTGCTAAGGGTACTACATTTCAGAAAAGCATTTTAGTAAAGTTAGATATAATCCACATAAACTTTAAAATAAGCAAGGTAGTTCTATGAAAATGTGAAAATCTAAAATAAAAGCTATGAAGCAAAAATGTAAGTTCTTCTAGGAAGATAGATGTTTTAGTTGAAAGCAAAGTCAGAGAAGTTGCTAACAGAAAATATATTAAACACTGCCAAACATGGGATCTCTGATCTTTGTGTCTATCTGAACTGTTACTACTAAAAATGCCTATGAATTCTTTTCAGTAGATCATATCATGAGTTATTTCACAAAAAAAAAAAAAAAAAAAAAAAAAAAAAAAAAAAAGTTTATAGAATACAAATGATTAAAAAAATAAATTTTGTCTGGTCAGTGTGCATTCCTGAATGCTTTTTGGCAGTTCTAATTGATGAGACCTCGTTTTATAAAATACAGGAAAATTTGCGATCAGCCCACAGGATGTGCAGTTTAATTATGTTGGTGTGCATTTCTATTTGTTTCTAATGTAGAGGATCTATTGGTAAAATGAATGCCCATTTTGTGGTCTGTTATGCAGAAAATGTTTAATCCACTGTTTGATTTACTCTGTTAAATCTTCTTTATTGAATGTGCTTATTCATCCATGCAGAATTGGGTATGCTGCTTTCTGTTACTATGACATTGCAATTAAATAGCTAAAGAGAAAAACATGGCAAGACATTTTCTCAAGGTCTGTGAAATTCTCATAAAAATTACTCACACTTAATGTATTTTATGTTTGCTGATATTAAAAATGTAAGGTACAGGAAAATTTTTTTGTTTGTTTGTTTTGTGGACTGACAGACCCAGAGTTTGCAGTTAAAGATCCCGAATAATCAATTTTGTCAAATAAATAGAACTAAGAAAAATTTCTGGTCCAGTGGATAATGACTGTCATCATGAAATAGGATTGCACTGATTGCATCTTATGAATGAAGCTAACGGGAACTCAGAGAACCAAACAACAGCATTTTGTGCTGGAATAAATACTGAAGCACTTGAGAAACAGTAAGACATTGATAGTGAAATAGCTCAGCTCTGTTATTACAGTCCTACAGTTATACTAAACATTAACAGAAGATTTGCACAATCAAATTATATTTTCATGAGTATTCTCTCTCAATAAGGAAAGAATGTGAAAAGGGAGTTTGCCTTATCTGAGCCAACTGATATAGCAATGTTTTGTTCCTCCGCTCCAGACGTTGAGGTCAGGATGATCCAACACTGTGAGAATTCTGGAACTGAATGTTTTTGTTAGAGGTTAAAAGGTAGGCATGGCAGCCCCGTTAGCAGGGACTACAGGAGCTGCAAAATGGAAAAGTTCTTATTATTTCTGTGAGACGGTTGGAAGCATAATATAAGGAACATATGATTTGATTTTACTACTTTTACACCTGAATCTGTAACTACTACTTTTTTACATATTTATTTGCATTGTACTCAGGCATTGTAATCAAATCATTGTAATCAATGTTTAAATCTACATTTTTCATTCTTGTGTTGAAATTTACTGCTGGGCCATTTTCTGCACTGGCCTGTTTTGTAGCAGGTCTGGCAGTACCACGGGTGCAAGGTGGGCTCTGGTTTCCATTAGTCGCTTTATACCACTTCCACTGTTCTTTTTGCTACTCGAACAAGGAGCTTGTAAGAAGGTGTTAACAGGCTGCTAGCTGCTTTATTGTTGCTATTGATTTAAGGTGTTAAGACTTGTATATAATCATACACAACGAATAATCATAAGAGATTAGTTTAAAACAGCACACGTAATTAAATGGAAAATAAAAACTTAAATTTCCAGCATGCTGACACAGCGACTTTGTGCTGGGTTATTCTGATTGCACTGCTGTACGTACATTTGGGTACTTACAGAACGACTTCTTGTTCTGAGTATGTGTTCACTCAGTCCGGCGGGACAGGAGGGGCTGCTCTGAAGCGGTGCTTTCTGTGTGTCACCAGATTTCCCTTTCATTTCTTTGTGAGGTGAAAGAACAGACAGCCGGATTGCAGTGTGACTGTGAGCTGCACGCCACCAGCGTTCGTGGTGGGCTCACAGAAAGGTTTCTGAATGCAGCAGAGAAGAGGTACGGTCCAACATGTAGCGTTAGCGGCTGTCAGTTGACAAAGCACAGGGAATTAATGACCAGAAACAAGCTAATACACTTTACTTTGAAATGTCTTTGACATCGTGTTAAAAGGAAAGATATTACCGCTACCGAGCAGTGCGGAGGCTGTAATATGGGGAATACATTCTTGGATATCAAATGACAAAAACCGAAGTGCTGGGTTACTGACTTTCCCGCACGCGGTGCAGCGCGGGGCTGCTTGCCTTGCAGTGACTGTATTTGGTTTCCAGCGAGGCGGCACTCGGTCATACCGTAATGTCGGAAGCTCGCAGACAGCTGCTGGGCGCTTCCATCCGTTTCGCATTGCTTCTACCATAGCTAGTACCGCCAAAAAGAACGAGCAGCGAGCCGTCACACCACGAGCAGCGCGGCGCTCCGTCCGGCCGCGTGACGTCAGCGGGTCGCGCGGGAGAACTCCATCTACCGGCGGCCATTGCGTGCGGCGGCCGGAAGCTGTGTGGGCCGCGGCCTCCGCTTCCGGCAGCGCGGGTGACGTGACGGTGCCCCTCCCAAGATGGCGGACAACCTGCCCTCCGAGTTTGATGTGGTGGTGATAGGGACTGGTACGCGGCGGCACGGGGCGCGGGCCGGCCTGCGGGTGCTGGGGCCGTAGAGGGCGCGGCCGTAGCGGCTGAGGGCGGGGGAGCGGCGGCAGTGTGCGGGGAGTGAGGCGGTGGGGCTGCCGGGGCACCTGTGTGGGCAGCGCCGTATCCGTCGCTGCGCCTGCGAGCTGCTCGGGGATTGCTGCTTATGCTTCAGCGTCAGGAGTTGTTGAAGATACAGGACATAGCTGCCCTCACTGGGAGGGTAGCGGACCATCTCTGCGAGGTGCCGGCCCGTTAGGCACAACGCGACCCTTGTGTTCTTGAGGTTGGTGCTCATCTGGTACTTCACTGTAGCCACTGGCAGCCCAAAATGCCCCTGCTGGGCGAGCTGAAAGCTTCTTTCGGTGCGCCGAAAGTAGTTCTGAAGAGCCGACCTCGGTGTTGTGGTGGGATATGTGGTTTGTGCTGATAATCTCAGCTGCGTGCTGTAATGTGAGGATTGTGTTTTCTCTTGAAAAGCGTTTTCATAATCCCTGTGCTTGCTTACAGATAACCCCAAACTTCCTCATTTTGGGTGCTTCTCATTAAGGTGTTCAATTCAGCGTAAAAGAAGACATAGGACTGCATGTACTTTAATTGACTCTGAGCTGTCTCAGGCTGCCTGTGCTTTGTGCATCCTATACAAAATCATCCACTTTCTGTTCCAGTGGGTGATGGACATCTCAGATGTCTCACAAAAACATACCACAACGTTGTAACTACAACCAAAATTTAAAATATTTCTTAAATTGCAATTAGAAATTAAGATTTCCCTACTGTGTTCTTTGTTTGGTAGTTCAAGTGGAAGCCTTAGTGATGAACCTGATGTTTTCTTATATGATCAGGTTTGTGACTGTTCTGAGTAAAAGAGAATAACCGTAAACAATGAATGGCTAAATTACCAAACTGAAAGGGTGAAGTGTTAAGAACTGTACAACTCCTTGATTTATGAGGGTAATTAATCTTTATTACCATGAAAAATACTTCTGTATGCAATAGTATAGAAAATTAAAGGAAACACGGCTTCATAAAATTAATGTTCATGAATTTTCTATCTAATCTAGCTAAGGAAAAGGTGAAAATAGTAATGGTACATATTCTAGCTGCTAGGGGAGCTAGTGAAGATCTTCAACACATATGACTAAAACATACATAGATAAGACTTCATCTTTTCATTATTTCTATGGAGAAGAAAAACGTGCTGTCAGAATTTTCTTCTGGAGCTTCTATAATCTTTGTTAAAAATCTGATGTAATTCCATTTGCTGTGGTAGCTCTTATGTTGAGGGGCCTCAGAGGACCATGTAGCAGGCACAGTAAACCTCAGGCTGCAGTTGTGTTCTGTCTTTCCTGTTCATGCTTGCTGTATGATATGTGAGTTAAACCGAGGCTATCTGTGTAACAGCAGTTGGTGGTAGCAGGTCACAGATAGGAAAGCCTGTGCTCTCCCAGCCAGGCTCTTAGGAGCGCTCACCTGAAGCAAAGCACTTCAGCTGAGCAGTCTGTGGCAGAGAGGATTGGTCCTGGAGTGCGCACCTACCATTACCTTCCCTATTTTGAGAACAGGTTTTAATAGTAAAGTTTTCATATTGGGAGAGAAAATGTCATGAGATGAATTCTGTCGTGGAAATATTGCTGTAGTTAGTGTTGGTATGGGTTTGTATGAGAAGGTATGTTTTTGAGATGTTTGCCTGCCTAAAGGGAGACCTCACTGTGGCCTTCCAGTATTTGGAAGAAGCATATAAACAGGAGGGGCAATGGCTGTTTACAAGGGTAGGTAGTGATGGGACGGGGGAATGGTTTTAAACTGAGACAGGGGAGGTTTAGGTTAGATATTAGGAGGAAGTTTTTCACACAGAGGGTGGTGATGCACTGGAACAGGTTGCCCAAGGAGGCTGTGGATGCCCCATCCCTGGAGGCATTCAAGGCCAGGCTGGATGTGGCTCTGGGCAGCCTGGTCTGCTGGTTGGTGACCCTGCACACATAGCAGGGGGGCTGAAACTAGATGATCACTGTGGTCCTTTTCAACCCAGGCCATTCTGTGATTCTACAGAGAGTACTGTTAGGTCTAGTTTGAAGATTCTAGTTTCCAACCTTGTGATTCTATGATTCTAAGATGTTCAGAGCTCCTGCCTTTCCTGAATTATTGTCTTTGCTTTGCATTTCTTCTATTAAGGATGTATGCAAATGATGACTAATGGTGCCAATTGTCTATTTTTACACTGTATTAAATACTGGTACTAAACCAGCAGTGTGAAAGATTATTCAAAGCACGATTTTTATTTTCCAGGAAATTACTGCTGAAGGAATTTCTTAGTCTTTAACTCTTCTTCTGATGCCATAGGCAGTGCTGAGTGCATATGGATATCTGATTGTCATAATATCTGAAATGTTGGTGTTAATGTTTTTAACTGCTTAGTAGTAATTGCACTCTTTTCTGCATGCCTGGCCTTCCGCAGGTTTTATAATTCCTGCATCTGTTAATTTCAGTAATTAGATTTGAGTGGGATTTGAATTTGTTTTTATTTCGGGCTCATTGAACTATTTCTCTGGAGTAAGCTTATTGGCAATGGAAACTCATGCTAAATTTTTGTCATCTGTGATATGTTTAATAGCTAGGTTCAATTCCTTTATCAGTATTTGTGTGGTAAAAGCAAATTCAGTTATTGATGAGACTACTTCTCTGTAACCCAAATAAAACATGTTCTTGCACAGGCAATTTTAGAACACTCTGGATACATAGTACAAAAACACACAAAGTCTTTGTGGGTTCAGTAGCAAATGTTTAGTTACTGTCATTGAACTTCTATGCATAGTTCTTAAGAAAAATAGATTAACAGAGAACTTAATAATATTTTGAGGTTTTCAGTGACAATACAGCACAGAAATTAAAGTTGTTTTGGCTTTGTTCTTTTGTTCTATCTCCGTTTCTTATTGTAGAATTGAAGTTCATTTCAAGTTTTATTTTAGCTTCTTCTCTCATCAAGACTGTCCCTATTTCCTTTCTTTTTGATTATATTATTATGTGGAGGTTATCCACTAACCAAGTAGGAATGGCTTCACTGCATGATTTTCTGATAAGGCAGTTGTTATACTCGCAGTAGTTCTGGTATTTTGGAAAATTATGTTTGCAGATTTTCATTTGTGTTAAATCCTGTAGCACGTCGTTTTGGATGGCTGGTACTGTAAGTGCACGCTTGAAGACACTTCAGGGTGGGCAATAATCATGTTTGCTATTGCTACCCTTTTAAGGGGTCAACTTCTAAATTAGTGCAGACATTATGAATGTTTACAAGGAGGGAATGTTATGAGATCTTTAAATGTAATTTAAAAAATCTATTTGGGAGAGTGACCTGGGTTACGGAGTCAGTGGGAAGGATTTTATTTAGACAGTTAACAAATAGGAAAGCTTATAGGCAAAACATTCAGCACTGTTGAATTTATGGCATAAATCACTGTAAACATAAAGATTTGCAATATCTGCAAAATACAAACAGCCATAACTTAAATATTTAAGTGATGTGTTTAAGGATACAAGGTCTCCCTTACTGTGAATTTCTTTGATTGTTTGGATTATATTCAGTCCTGACTTGAACTAGTTCCTGATATTGCAGGAGTCCTGTCTTAACTTCTGGTGAGTTATAAAATAAAGGACAGTACTCTTTATAAGGTGGCTGTATTCACAAGTTTGCCAGTAATTCTAATTTTTTTTTTTTTTTCTAAATAGGAGTTATTCTTTATAAAAGCAGTCACAGTAAATTTTCTAGTTCTATGCAATTTTCTTTCCATTCTGGTTTTCAGGGGCTATAAATAACACATGAAATGACTTTCAAGGTAGAAAGCAGGAATCCGTTTTGAAATATTCTATAAAATAAAGAGTGATTTATGGTTTCATATGATTTTGGCTGAAAGCACTCGGGCTTTGCCAGGTCATCAAAGTCCTGTCAGGAGAATCTATTATTTATTGTTCGATATGCGGGGAGTGGTGTAAGTACTTTATGTTTATCTTATGTAAGTATAGTGTTAGGAGAAATCACTTCCAGACACTAAAACAGTTTTTAGAATGCACAATGAAAAACTAATCTTAATATTATAATGCGAGAAATGAAGTTAACATTGGAGATAGTTTGAAAAAATAGATTTTTGATAAGTGAGTGATTCCTAATGCTTTGTTATTGCAGGTGTAAATTTACCTTTATTTCCTTACTGCTGACTTTTTTAACTTAACTAAAATTGAGTGGTTTTTTTTTTTCTGGCATGCTTTCAGTTCTGACTGTTGTTATGCAGTAGTGCTGGTATGACAGCCTTCTTGAAGGCTTGGTATCCCACTGATACCTCGCATGGGATTATTTTCCAGATACACTCACTGCTCTTATAGGAAAGCAAATTATTTTGTGAAGCCTTTGCTGTCCCTGCCTGTTAGCATTTCTCAGATTTTCCAGATTATTTGCTCATCATACAGAGGTCAACTTGCAATAGTCACATCAGTAAGATTTATTGACATTAATCTGCTTCTTATGTATCCAAGAAGGTTATACCAGACAGCTGGCAGTGAAAACTAGTGCTATGAACTGGGGACTTGATTCTTCATTATAAGCATGTGTATTTACCTAGTGTTTATTCTGTCATTTTTTTTGATTACTTTATTCTGGTGCTGCAACTGTTTCTGATACAGTCGTGGAATCTTGCAGCAGTTTTCAGTGCATCTTGCAAATAGCTGAAGAACCAGAGAAATTTGTAGGACTAACCTCCATTTGTGTCTGCTGGAGTGAGCCGTGCCAAGGTGCTTGT